GCATGATTGATAATGGAGTTAGGATTACAGGATTGGTTTGTTATCTGAGAGCAGCGGTTAGCAATATTTATAATCTTATTATTTGGGGATTAGGATCACGAGGACTAGTCAGTATCGGAAACATCATAAATAACCTAGCTTTGTTTGGTATCTGACCTCATGCGTAATCGTGTCTGTAAGAGTTAGTTTGTGTGTACCCAGACATTTCTTTCTGTTGCTAAGCCTTTCGTTGGTGTGCGGGTAGCTTACTGTGTTTCTTTGTGTGTTTATTTCTGTTTTTTTTTCTCTCTCCATATTTCAGGTAGCTTTAGCCAGCCTGATCGTACAGTCTCACCAGTTGTCCTTTTTAGCTGTCTTTCATTCATTCTTTCTTTCTTTTTTTTTTCTGTCTGTCTGTCTGTCTTAGTATTATGTAGGACTCTACCTACCATAATTTACATTTGCTTAATTGTTACAATTGCCTAGTAGTTACTCTGTGGTGGCTAGTAACGTTGATATTGCGTAATTGTTATTTTCTGACGGAAACGATTACTATTTACTTTTGCCATATTAGGATTTTTTTTTTCTTCTAACAAATAAGATTACTATATTTACTATGACGTTATTGTTATTTTCTGACGAAATATATTACTTTTTACTATAACCTTATTGTTATTTTCTAACGAAGATTAATTTGTTATTGACTCGTTATTTTATTGCGGAGTAGATTAATGTTTGTTATTGCCATATTGTTTTTCTTTTCTAACGAAAAAGTTCGCTGTTTGGTATTGTATAATGATTGTTTTCTAACGGGACAGTGCTATTTGCTATTGCCTTATTGTTATTTTCTAACGGACAAGATTACTTTTTGTTTGCGCATAATTGTTATTTTCTGGTGGTAAAGAACACGTTTGTGATACTGAACACATCTAGGGATAGTAGTGATGTTGAACATCTTGTGCCGGAACTATGCGACCGTTGTCCGAGGATCGCATCTTTGTGTCCGAGGATCGCATCTTTGTGTGACCATGGATACCGGAGCTAGCGGTGTCTTGTGTTTCTGTGGATTACTGGTGCTGACACTGTCAGTCGTAGCTCAGCCGGCAGCTGCTGACACAACACTGCAGCCACTGTCATCATCCGCACCCAGCTCCACAGTCTTGCCAGCGACAACAACAGGTAAAGCGGGGTCGAGTAACGGTTCAGCTTCAATCCTTTTCCACGCCTTTCAGACGTTTTGGGCACATAGGGCTCGACCTTAATTTCAGAGACCAGTCGATACTGGGTGGGGGATGTGCTTAGCGTGACGCCTGCCGCGGCTCAAGTAGTAGTAGGCTCTAAAGGGGAAAAGGGTTGACTTCTTTCTTTCTTTATTTCTTTCTTTCGTTCGTTCTTTCTTTCTTTTTCTATTCTTTCTTTCTTCTTTCTTTCTTTCTTTCTTTCTTTCGTTCGTTCGTTCTTTCTTTCTTTTTCTATTCTTTCTTTCTTCTTTCTTTTTTTATTCTTTCTTTCTTTCTTTCTTTCTTTCTTTCTTTCTTTCTTTCTTTCTTTCTTTCTTTCTTTCTTTCTTTCTTTCTTTCTTTCTTTCTTTCTTTCTTTCTTTCTTTCTTTCTTTCTTTCTTTCTTTCTTTCTTTCTTTCTTTCTTTCTTTCTTTCTTTCATTCTCGTCAGTCTTTTCTTTCCTTCCGTCCTTACCTGTTTCTTTCCTTCTTCTCCTTTCTCTCCATTCTTTCCTTTTCCCCTTCCTTCCTGCCTTCGTCTTCCCTCTTCCTTCCTCCCATTCCTGTCTGTCTGTCTGTCCTTATTTGACTTCTGTTTCTTCCTGCCCTCTTTATTCTTTTCTCTCTTTTTGTTTAAAATCAGCATCTGATTTAGTGAAATCATGAGCGCATTTGTGCCACAAACTGTGACCTTAACTTGTTGTGATAATCGTTAACTTTGGCAATAATATGAGCATTCTAGTTGAACTGTTTCAGTCCCCACCAGGCGGTGTGGCCAGAACGCAGGGTTCTCATGCGGGAGATCCGGGCTTAGATCATCGTCTATGGATGTCTTTTTCTGACGGTGGCAAAAATAAACATACTGACCTTAACATCAGATGCAATGTTTAAATGAGAAACAACTGCATTGCACCCGGGACATTGCTCCGCCATTATCTTCAACAGCGAGCGCAGAGTTCCAATTCCGATAGTACCAATCACAATCTCTTCCTTCTCACATTTTCCCTTGAGTGTTGACCAGATCTGTCACTCCTTGCACGATTTTCACCAGACCGTAATGATCTATCGTGCTTCAGCACTGTTCATTCCCCCCCCCGCCCCCCACTCACACACAAAGGTCCCAAAAGACAGCCACCCTCTTACAGCATAAGTCAGTTCCCATAAGCACCAAGAAACATCTCATACAAAGCATATTCGTTCCCACCCTACGCTGTCAAGTGCCAGACGAGGTCGCCCACAACAAATAAGAAACGAAAATTAGTAACCATGGAAATCAAATGTCTGAGAAGGGCTGTAGGAGTGACTAAACAAGATACTATCAGGAGTTTGAAATTCGAACAACGGACCAACATCATGGCACATGAAGAAGCTCAGCACAAAGCACAGACTCTATAGCACCGGCGAGGATCCTCAAATACTTTGGTTAGATTTTTAACTTCAAATTTTGCCAGGGCAGCGCCGTTAGGCTACTCTTTGCGATTTCCAATTGCCAAGGTATTTTTTACATGCGCAACAATACACACGGGCGTCCGATCTCACCACTCAAAGACCAGGGGGAATTACTAGAAGTCCAAGTCCACGTGAAAAAATCACAGCTCTTACCGGGGATTGAACTTGGAACCTCAAGTATTCAAAGCGGATACCATGCCTCGAGACTACGCAGCTCCTACAATCAGGAGTGAGGTCATAAGAAAAAAAAGTCGACTCAGAGCGACTATGTTTAAATTACATAGAAAGACAGAACACAATTGTTTGCCCAGTTAGAGACAATGCCTTGTGACGCCATACCATGCAAGGTATACTCAAAAAGGTAAGGATGTAGAGCACGACGTTGACCAAGAACAAGATGGAAAGGAACCTCAGATAAACTTTAAAACAGCACCATGTGTCTGTGGTCAAGGCGGCCAGAAGAGCAGGAAGCAGAATCTTATATCTCCATGGACACTTGAAACAGTAAAAGAGAAAGTGAAGTAGAAGAAGAACCTACACAGCACACCATGACTTGACTAGCCACGCTGCCATAAACCCCAGGCTCCGGACCCCCTACATCATTCCCATCATCGGCTTTTAAGAGAAAAAATTTCACGTCCAACCAGCATTCCTGAAGGAGGAGCTTCAGGTTATAATTGTGGCTTGACTTTTTTTGGCATCATATAAAAGGGCTTAGCATTGGTTGCCACCAAGAGAAAAGGGCTCTCGTATCTTGATGTGATTAAAGGAGACAAACCCAAATAGTGTCCCGAAACAATGACGAAGTCGTCTACTGACCAGCCAGTGTCGCCGCTGCCCTGCCTTCACGACACTGAGATGTAAATACAGACTTCAGAGACATTCCCAGAACCACTGCTTGTTGTTATGTAAGTGCACTTGCCCCTATGCCACTTCTCACTACCACTTCTTCTTCTTCCCATTCACCAGCTGTAAAGTGTGGCGGAAAGTTCTGGTTGTTCATCCACTTCTGATATCCAGTCCTGTTTCAGAACTTGAGTGCTGCGTGTGCATCCATTTTACAGATCTGACTAATTTGTATGCAGACTGTTGGTTCCGTGCCTATCAGGCAGATACACTTCGACTTTAAAGGAAGCTCCCAATTAGTCGACTGGTACGATATGCTTTTGGGTTTGGCAGTGGGTTTATTCTTGTTTTCCCTATAACACGACTCCAGAACCCACATGGGGACATTTCTCACTAGATTTACACCACAAGTTACAACATAACCTTCGCAACAACATGGCTGGAAGCATAGAAGAAGGTGCAAAGTGGACCTATTAGTATTAGAACTCTGTTTACTGCTGATGGTAGGAACTGAGCGCTTATGGAAATGTCCTGAATGCTGTAAGGGCATTTCTTAACTCATCAGCACAAGCTTCTTCTGTAACTGAGTGAGCATGCTCCGGAAAATAGAGATGGGCTGGGTTGGAAGATACTAATTGGAGTCTCTAAAATGGTTGAGGTTGACACATATCAGTTTCATATTTGTGTCAGGGCAGGCATGTGTGTAAGGAAAGGAGCAAGCTTATCAGCTTGCAGGTAAAGCTACTATGGAGGGCAGACGAGACATGGACCAGGCTGATATTCTGAATGCTCTACAAGAAATCAGACATTTGTGAGAACCAAGTGATAGTTGTTAATCTGCAGCAACGACCAAACTGCAAGAACAGAGTGTTAAGAGGGGGTGTGGCCAAACAAGAGCACTATACAGGAAGCCAACGAAGAATAAGAAACTAACACAGAACTGGTGTCGTGAGCTGCGAGATTTACTAAGGATCCAAGCGATTGTGGACTGAATTGTTTGATGTGCATTGAGAATAATCCGTTGACTGACTGACTGACTTACTAACATAACTGGCGGGTGTACCACTATAACCACATTATGTGGTTAAACAGGATTTCTGTGATTTACTCCTATAGAATTCTGAACCGAATTTTGACTCTTTGAGTCAGTGAGTGTTTAATCTTCCAGAAAACAAACATGGAGGGGACAGATTAAAAAAAAAAAATTGCATAATGTCACTTCAGCACACAAACATGGTTAAGATAGTTGCATATCCTTTACAGGATGTTGCAGAACCAACCCTAACAGCCACTGCTGTTGTGTGGTTTCTCTAGGCAATTTACATCCAGTAGTTTGCCATTGCTTGCTGAACGGTCGGCTTTCTTGATACAACTGTCGAAACCAACGCAAGGCGCATTGCCCGCAGCTGGGATCGAACCTGGCATCCTAGCATTACGAAGCGAAGCGTTTGCATTGACTTAGCCACAAACACACATGGTACAGATTTCTATTTGATGTTTCTGCAGGCCAGAACACAGATGACTGCCAAAGAGTTGCCTGCCAGAATGGAACTACCTGCGTGGATGGGGCCAGCAATTACACCTGCGTGGATGGTACCAGAAACACCTGCCTGTGCCTTGGTAACTTTAATGGGACCAACTGTGAGAATGACTTGGCAGGTACTTGATAGTTAAAGTATTGCTGACTGTATCCTGTAGTAACACTGTTGCTGTTTAGTCTTTACTTCTACAAAAGTGTTTCCATGCTCCATGGGTGGGGAGGGGGAACACTTTGATTTTTTTAGGGATGGGGGAGGGCAGTGTGAGTGTTAATGGAGGCAAATTGATTGTTAAGGGAGACAGTTTGAAAATGGACTTGTCCAGATTTTAAGTTATGTAGGAGGCATATGAATTTTAGAAAGGCATAAGTGTGGCATGGCACAAAAAAAGGTTGTTACTGTCTTTCATGATCATGAAGCAGGTCCTGTGCTTTGCAAAATGTTGCTCTCATCACGGTCTGCCTGAAAGAAACTCGGTATCTCGCTGTCTGTCCCACCCTTATACCCATGTCTCTTGCCCCCTTATACCCATGAAGTCACTACTTTTTGTGCCCATCTTCGTGCTGGTTGGTCCCTACCCTTCTTCCTGGTACCATGCGTTCTGGTATTACTTTTTTTGTCAGTGAGCATCTTTGCTGTATATATTTCCCCACGTGGGTTCCGTGCCACATTTTTCTCAGGGGCGAAGGGCATGGGAATACAACCACTACCCCTGCCTCCAGAAGCAAGTTGTAGAAGATGACTAATTAGCAGTCTTTCCGTCGAAGTCGGAATGCATCTGCCTGAGAGGTGAGGAACCAACAGACTGTACAAGATAAGCCAGATCTGTAAAACAGATGTGCATGCCAGAATCAAGACCCAGAATAAGACTCAAGTCCAGAAGTGGATGAACAATCAAGAATTTCCGCTGGTTTTGACAGTTGGTGAGTGCGAAAAAGAACAGACTAAGAATAAAACCTTTGGGAGATGGTGAACTGTAGGTCATCCTGATCTGGTGAGAACGGCCCACTAGAAAAAGATATTGGAATCTGACCGACACTTGTCACTCAGAACAAAGGCAAAATGGACATATAACCAGACAGCTACTGTAGCCATCAGTATTAGAACTGTGTGTTTGCTGCTGATGGGAGGAACTAAGCGCTTATGAAAATGTCCTGAGTACTTTAATGTCATTTCTTAACTCACCCATGCTCAGAAAATGTATCATCATCTTCATTATTGTCCTGTTGTGCCCTTAAATGTCACATAGGCTCGCGGTCTTCCATCCTGTTCAATCAGTTCAGTATTATCCTCCTCCTTCCTTTTTCTCCTTCTCCACTTCCTCTTCCTTTTTCTCCTTCTTCTCCTCCTCCTTTTCCTCTTCCTCCTTTTCCTCTTCCTCCTTCTTCCTCCTCTTCTTTTTTCTCCTTTTTTTTCCACCTCCTCTTCTTCCTCCTCCCCTTTCTTTTTCTCCTTCTCTCTTCTTCTTTTTTGTTGTTGTTATTTACACCTGGATTGCTAAATCTATGCCTCTTGACCCAACACATGTGGAGATAGAAAATGTTTCTTTACCATTGGTTTAACATATGTCACATGTCATTCATGCCCATGATTTGTGACAATTTGCAAATAAATTAGGTTGCTCTCATTGCTCATTTCAGGAAGCTCTTGTAATGACACTGACGAGTGTATGCTGAATGTGTGCAGAAACAGTGTCAACTGTACGAACTTACAGGGAAGTTACTTTTGCCATTGCCTGCCAGGTTTCACAGGCAAAAACTGCAGCAGTGCCCTGCATGATTGCGAACCTAATCCTTGCCAGAACAACGCCACGTAAGTTTGGGAGCCGAGATCTTACTGTGGGTGTTTAGTACCGTTTCTTGGTCTTTCCATTCATTCATGGCCTGAGAGCAGCACAGCCCGACATGTTGTATTGTAGCAGACTCATAGAGAATGCGTTGGAAAATTGAAACTGGTGTCCTGTGTACAGACTGGCTTGGATCACTTGGTAACACCAAGATCCGGAGCATATCAAGGATTTTCTGTCCTGGAGATTCAGATGTGCGAGGTAATGAGCAGGCTGAATGATTAGCTGCTACCGCACCTCTGAGCAATGAGCTACTTTGATAAAGTAGATGTGGTGGAGGATCTGTGGGATCAGATGGACAGTGAGTGCAATAGAACAGATAGAGAATTCATACATTGAAACACAATACGATGGGGGATGTCTAGAGATTCTGGAAGATATTCAACACTGAGAGGAAAATAAAGGTAGTTTTTAATCAGGTTGCAACTGGTAGTATTAACATGTTGGTTACTAAAGAAGGAGAGGGAGCACTCGTGAGAATGTCCTGAGTGCAGTGATGTAAATTTTTGATTCATTCATTTGATTGTTAAGAGGTTGGGGGGCAATTTGATTGTAAAACAAACAGGAGGAGGGGGAGTTTGATTGTGTGGGGGGGGGGGGGGGGGGTGTATTTGATTGTTAAGTGGGAGAGGGTTTTTTTTTTGTTCGATTGGGGGGGGGGGGGGGGGGGGGTTATTTAATTGTTAGGGGAAACAGTGTGATTGTTAAGGGGGTTGGGGGGGGGGGGGGGGGGGGTAATTGTTAAGGGAGGACAGTTTGATTGTTGGGGGGGGGGGGGCACTTCAAAAGTGGACTTGTCAAGAGTTAAGCTTCATAGGAGGCATATGAATTTTAGAAAGGCTTAGGTGGGACGTGGAGGCATACAAATTTTAGAAAGGCTTAGGTGGGACGTGGAGGCATACAAATTTTAGAAAGGCTTAGGTGGGACGTGGAGGCATACAAATTTTAGAAAGGCTTAGGTGGGACGTGGAGGCATACAAATTTTAGAAAGGCTTAGGTGGGACGTGGAGGCATACAAATTTTAGAAAGGCTTAGGTGGGACGTGGAGGCATACAAATTTTAGAAAGGCTTAGGTGGGACGTGGAGGCATACAAATTTTAGAAAGGCTTAGGTGGGACGTGGAGGCATACAAATTTTAGAAAGGCTTAGGTGGGACGTGGCACACACACAGGTATTGGGAAACACTGACTTAGGTGATTAGTTTCCCAGAATGTCTTCCTGTTTTACAGGTTTCTGTTGCACACTTCTTTTTACACGCATGGTAGGCGACCCTAACCTCAATCCGCCTCCTATCTCATACAGACCTGAGACAAAATATACCCAGTTTATAATACATATAGAGGAGCAGCTGGTCACAGTTACAGTGTCAGACTCTCATGTGGGAGTCCTGGGTTTGACCCCCGGTACGGTGATGAAAATTTTTTGTGCAAAAATAAACATATCCGTGGCGACACAACTAGCTACATAAACCTGAATCCTCAGGCTCGCAACCCGCCCTCTTCACCATCCTTCTTCTTCTACTTAAAGTCCATGCCGTGTGACGTTGGTAGTCATGTCTATCCACAGCCTTCTGAGTCGTGTACTTTCAGTCAACTCGGAAACAGATGATCCTGCATGCCATGATGTCAAACTGTAATGCATCTTTTCTCTCACAAATTGTGGGATCGATACCTTGTACTAGATTCATTGAGAAACAGCAGGTCAAGTGGTTTGGCAATCTTGTTAGAATGCAGCAAGATCAAATAGCATCGCAAGCACTACATCGTTGAAGATCAGCTACAAGAGCAAGAGGACGGCCGCGGAAAACATGGATCGACAACATTGAAGACACTCTACACTTTCACGACATGACAGTAGCCAGTGGCAGCCAGCGTGCACTGTATCGCAAATTATTCCTCCCCATGACCCTTAGTGGCAGAAGTGATTTATGATGATGATGCTGATGATCTTTTCTCTGTTTCCCTCTGGCTCTTCTTCTGTCCAACTTTCCTACTGTCACAGTGAACTCTAGTTTTCTCCTTCTCATCACATGACCACTGACTGTAGATTGTCTCTTTCTGATGTGGGCAGTCAGTTCTCTTTGTGAGTCAGTTTCTTTCAAGACGTCTTCATTACTCTTTTTATATGTCTAGGGTATTCTCATCATTCGTCTATAAAACAACATCTCCGCAGCTTCCAAATAATTTTTCACTAATTTACTAACTGTCCATGAAATCCTTAAAAAAAATGGTAAATATATACAGTGGTGACACTTTTTTTTTAAATGATACATTTCAGTTGCTCAGTGAATGGGACTGGGTATAACTGCTCCTGCTCAGCTGGTTACAGTGGTACACACTGTGAGACCAACATTGACGAATGTAAAAGTCATCAGTGTCGGAATGGAGCCGCTTGCACGGATCGGGTAGGTGCATGTTTGTTTGTATAGCAACATCAGCCTTCTGCTCGCTGGAGAATCAGGTGCACACACATGTCGTAATTGTAACCGACTCACAGAGCTTATTAAGAAAGGGAGACTGCTGAGCTGCGTGAAGAGTGGCAAGCATAGCTTAAGAGGTCCCAGGTAGTTAGGGTCCTTTGTATGTTTTTCCAAGAAAATGTCAGTGTATTAGGAAAGGAACAGGTAGATAGTCTAGCTGGTTCTGCACAACATAATGGTGAATTGATGCATGACAGATTTGAGATTTGAACAACGGATCAACATCATGGCACACGGGTAGTAACCCATAAGTGCTCCGTTCTTCTAACTCAAGTCTGAGTCCTAAGAAGCTTGGCATGGTGCACAGGCTCTGTAGCACCAGCGAGGATCCTGAAATACTGTGGGTAAATTTTTAACTCCAAATTTTGCCCTGGCAGTGCTGTTAGGCTACTCTTTTCAATTTTCAACTGCCTAGGGATTTTTTACGTGCGCAACAATATACATGGGCGTCTGATCTCTCTACCCAGAGACCAAGAGGAATTGCTAGAATCCTAGTCCATGTTTAAAAAAAAATCCCAGCTCTTACCAGGGACAAGTGCATGACAAGTCAGATGTTTTAAGGGCCCTTTGGGGATGAGGAACAGTGTGGAAGCACAGATGGATCATCATAGTCTGAACAGAATGGTGCTACGAGGAGTGACCTGGGGATCTGGTCTATGATCAGCGCTCATGGGAAAAGTGAGACAGATGTACAATCAGACTGTTACTTCAGAACTTTGTGCTTGCTGCTGAAGATGGGGATGGAGGGCTCATGGGAAGTCCCAAGTTCTGTGATGTTGATTCTCAATTAAATATTAAACATAGAAAAATGTCTTATTCCATTGATAGATCTCACCATGATTAAAGGGAGTTCATAACTAATCATTATACCACGATGCCTTTGCAGTATTTAGATCCTGGTGGTCCACTGTCTGGGCAGACAGAATCCCATCAGCAGGGGACTGCAGCTGTCTAGAGAGCAAACTGGATAAAAGCTGTCCCCAGAAACGGAGTATGTCAACCAATTTTTTGGTGTAGAGGAATCGACACATGCGGTTAACTCAGTGGCCAGACAGATTGTTGTGACAACACCTTGTATAGATTCATTGAGAAACAGCAGATCAATTTGTTTGGCCAACTATTTAGAAAGCAGCATCAAATACCATTTACAGGCACTACATCTCAGACATTCAGCTACAATAAATAGCAAGAGGATGACTGCGAAAAATATGTATCGACAATTTCAGAGACACTTTGCACCTTAACCTCATGGCAATAGTTAGTGCCAGTGCAGAGTGCATATTGATCCTTCCTCCCTACTGGCTTATTTGTATGCAGGTTGTTCCTTGCCACTCTGGCAGATGCACTCGGACTTTAAAAAAAGTCCCAATTAGTCGACTCTTACGACATGCTTGTTGGGGAGGCAGTGGGTCTATTTTTGTTTTCCCCACAATGGGTCTCGAAACACACATAGGAGGGTTGGGAGGGAGGGGGGGGTGGGGGGGGGGGCTTATTTTATTTGCTTCTATTATGATCCCTTTCCCATTATTAACCATCAGCAGGTTGATGCATGTTTTATTCATATTAATATATACAGGATCACGCAATTGTAGGTCATTATATCTGTGTTGTTTAACCCTGCTAGGTGAATGGTTACAACTGTGTTTGTCAGCCAGGCTGGACAGGCCTATACTGTGAGCAGGTCATCAATGGGTGTGAATCAAACCCCTGCCTTAACTTTGCCCGTTGTCAAAACCACTTGGATTCTTACAATTGCACCTGCCTGCCCGGATTTCAAGGTAAGTTGTATTTGTATTCTGGAGGACTGCTTTCTGAAATACTGAAAGAGTTCTTTATAGAATCATGGATTCTCCGGGTCATGTGTGTTAAGAAATGAACAAGCAGACAGACTGGCTGGCTGTGCACAACTTGGTGGAATATTCATGCATGATAAGGCAGATGTGGTTAGGGCCTTGTGGGAAAACGTGTACAATTCAGAGGAGCAAATGGATCCCCACTCTGTTTAGAGTGTTACAGGGGGGGGGGGGAGTGATGAGAGGATATGGCCGAAACTCGACACTCAGAGAAAAGGCAAGACAGATGTATAATCACAATGCCACTGGCACTGTTGGTAGTGGAATTCTGCACTGGCTGCTAAAGATGGGGGCAGAGTGCTCATGAGAATGCCTCAAGTGCTGTGATGTCAGTTTTTGAATCAACTCAACATTCATAGATTACTTTTGACCTAGAACACATTTAATTATTCTTTCCTGTCCCATTCTTTCATTATGTTAACAACCCCTTATTTGCAATTGCTGCTTTAATAAGTTCTGTCTCGAGATGTGTATTTTCTTTCATTTCTGTAAGACTAACAAATCGTTGTTCTACAATATAAAACCTTAGATGCTTTTTACTTTTCTTTTGTTGTTGTCTCACTGATACTAGGTTGTAGCCCAGTGTCATGGTTTTGTCGTCTCACTGATGCCAGGTTGCAGCCCAGTGTCGTGGTTTTGTTGTCTCACTGATACCAGGTTATACCCCAGTGTCATGGTTTTGTTGTCTCACTGACACCAAGTTATAGCCCAATGTCATGGTTTTGTTGTCTCACTGATGCCAGGTTGTAGTACAGTGTCATGGTTGTGTCATCTCACTGATACCAAGTTGTAGCCCAGTGACGTGGTTTTGTCGTCTCACTGATACCAAGTTGTAGCCCAGTGACGCAGTTATGTTGTCTCACTGATACCAAGTTGTAGTCCAGTGTCGCGGCTATGTTGTCTCACTAACACCAGATTGTAGCCCAGTGATGCGGTTATGTCGTGTCAACAATACCAGGTTGTAGCCCAGTGTCGTGGTTTTTTTCGTCTCACTAATACCAAGTTGTAGCCCAGTGATGCGGTTTTGTTGTCTCACTGATACCAAGTTGTAGTCCAGTGTCGCGGCTATGTTGTCTCACTAACACCAGATTGTAGCCCAGTGATGCGGTTATGTCGTGTCAACAATACCAGGTTGTAGCCCAGTGTCGTGGTTTTTTTCGTCTCACTAATACCAAGTTGTAGCCCAGTCATGCGGTTTTGTTGTCTCACTAATACCAGGTAGCAGCTCAGCAGTGTCCTGATTTCCTGTATTTGTCTTGGGTGACTTAGCTGATGAATTTGCTCATCTTTTTGCAGGTTTTAGTTACAACATTTATCCCTCTCTTTCTTGGTCTTCCCCTTACGATCCTCCCAATGTTCTGCGATAACAAATCTCATGTGTAGTTTGGTCTGGCTGTATTCTTACTAGATGGCCGAACCATTTCATTCTTTGTGTGTCAATATAATCCAGACATGGTCTTATTCCAGCATTCTCTCTAATGCTGGTATTCATAAACCTGTTTCTTCTTGCGTTGTTAGTGCCCTTGCGGAGACAACACATTTTACATGTAGTTATTTTCTGTTCTAGTGCCCTATTCATTGTCCATGTTTGGCACTGATAACATAAAGCAGGGATAAAGATGCTTTTAATCATTTGCTGTTTTGCTAGAAGAGAGACATTTGGGTGTCTAAGGACTAATCTTTGAGGTGACAGCATTTGCCTTCTCTACTCTGTCTTCTATTTCTCTATCGAGTCTGTTGTCCTCTGTAAATATACCTCCTAGATATTTGAATTCTTATACTTGTTTGATTGAAGCAGCAACATAATTCTTTCTTGTTTTGTCAACACTGCAACTAGTAGCAACAAAATTATATCTTGTCTGGTGTTTAGTCAGTGATGCAGCTAGTAGTAGTATTATTCTCCTTCTTCTGCCTTGGCATTTGGCACATTGTGTTGCGGTGTACAGCTAGGCTGCGATATTTGTGCCTTTGGCCTGACAAGTTTCACCAAACTCCTAATTTTACAATATCCTTGTCAGGAAGACCTTTTTTTTCTTAAGAAATTAGTTCCTTGAAACCGACTTGTGGATAGTTGCAACATAATTGTTCCTTGTTTAGTCAAGCTTGAAGCTCTGACACCAGAACTGGCACTATAGAGCATTCACAAATGTCTGCCATTGAATTTTCAACCATTTCTCAGTGATTACTAATCCTGGGAACATGATTTTTTTTTTTTTTAGCGTGGGCTGCTATTTTTACCTCCATGTTAATGTTTGATTCATAAATAATGTGTTGTATAGAAACAAGCACTTTTTTGGGGGATTATTTTTGTCAGTTATTTATTTATAGTTAGGTAATTAACATATTTTACAGTAGTGACGTGAATTGTGAGTACAAACAAAGCATTTCTGCCGTTGTTTACCATCAGGGTGTAAGTCATTCTTTCCCTACTTCTTCTTCTTCAGCATTCCGAGCCCTTGAGGTTCATTGTTGCAGATATCACCCGCCTCTATTCTCTCTCTGGTTGACCTTCTTCAGCATTCCGAGCCCTTAGGTTCATTGTTGCATATATCACCCGCCTCCATTCATCTCTCTGGTAGGTCTTCTCTTTCCAGTTGCTGATCTGTCTGGACATTATCTCTCCACATATTCTTGGTCTGCCTCGTGGTCTGAGACCATTCATCTCCCTTGTGTATTCAGCTTTCACTTCTCTGTCATCTGACATTCTTTCAATATGCCCCAACCATATAAGTCTGTTAGCTCTCATGATGCCAGTGATCAGTGGTGATTTAAACAGATTATGAGTTTCGTTGTTACTTCTCACTCTCCATTTCCCGCTGTTTGCATCTTTGATGGGTCCAAAGATTTTAATATTTTTTTGTATTTTCCCCTAATTATGAACATTAATGATTGGCATATGACATAGAATTTTTTACGTAACTGGGTAAACAATGTAGCATACACATTTTATAATGTTTCGACACCTTCGGTTCAGCAGTTATGCTCTTATACAGAGTTTCCATAAAAACACAAGAATCATGCGTGTTTGTGAAAGATCGATTGATAAATTTCAACTTTTTGCTGTCTTAACTCTTAATATTTCAACCAGCAAAGATTTATGTATTTTTTTATATACATCAAATAAGCAAAACTTCAATCTAATTACTTGAGGGCAAACAAATGTGACATAACATTGAGAATGAAAAAATATTAATATATAAATAGGGGGCTTTATGGTCTCGAGGCATGGTGTCTGCCTCGAGTGCTAGAGGTTCCTGGTTCAATCCCCTGTTAGGGGGCTGGGATTTTTTCATGTGGATGTGGACTTCTAGTAATTCCCCCTGGTCTCTGGGTAGTGAGATCAGACACCCATGTGTAATGTTGCACACGTACAATATCCCTTGGCAGTTGGAAATTGAAAAGAGTAGCCTAATGGCGCTGCCTAGGCCAAAATTTGGAGTTAAAAATCTACCCAAACTATTTCAGGTTCCTCGCCGGTGCTACAGAGCCTGTGCACTGTGATGAGCTTATTCGTACTCAGACTTGATTTAGGAGAAAGAACGTAGCACTTATGGGTTACTATCCGTGTGCCATGATGTTTATCCGTTGTTCAAACTTCAAACTAATATTTATTTGCATCATTTTATATTTTAGTACAGCTGAGATATCAGTTTGTAAATATCAGTATGAATTTGAAAACACACTGTAACAGATTTCTCCCTTGTTTGTTCTAGGCTCAAACTGTGAATCCAACATTAATGACTGTTTAGGCGTCGAGTGTTACCATGGCGGTAATTGTCTTGACAGTGTCAGCGACTACCACTGTAACTGCACCAGCGAGTGGACGGGCAGGAACTGCAACGAGACGTCTAACGCGTGTATACCGAATCCGTGTCTGAATGGAGCATCCTGTGACTTGGATTCTGCCAGGCGTAACTACACCTGTGCTTGTCCTCCTGGATTCACTGGGCTGAACTGTCAGGAAGATATCAATGAATGTGTCAATCATACCTGTCTGCCTTACCAGGAATGTCAGGATGGGATCGGCAACTATACCTGTGGCTGCCCCAGAGGTCAGATCATTTTATCTTCTTCTTTTTTTTTTTTTTTTTAAATTTAGTTAATTTAACTCATTTTTCTTCCTAGTTCATATGCTCCTCATTTTTCTTTAGTTCATTTTCTCATTTTTCCTGAATTCATTTTTTATCAGATTTTTCTTAATTTTGTATAAGTTTTTGCCCTCAGATCACTTTATCAAATCTCGCCCCCCCCCCCCCCCCCCCCCTTCCCCCACCCCGCCCTCATTTTTATTTAAATCTTATCTTTCCCCAATTTATTTTATCTCATCTTTCTACAGTTCATTTTATCTCATCTTTCTACAGTTCATTTTATCTCATCTTTCTACAGTTCATTTTATCTCATCTTTCTACAGTTCATTTTATCTCATCTTTCTACAGTTCATTTTATCTCATCTTTCTACAGTTCATTTTATCTCATCTTTCTACAGTTCATTTTATCTCATCTTTCTACAGTTCATTTTATCTCATCTTTCTACAGTTCATTTTATCTCATCTTTCTACAGTTCATTTTATCTCATCTTACTTCAGTTAATGTTACCACATCTTAGCGCATATTTCCTCAGCTCCTTTGATTTCATCTTTGCCTTCAAACCAAGTTTCTTTAAAAAGGCCAGGTTGATGTCAAAATGTCCAGTTAGCCTTAGTGATAAAGGTCATGGGGTCATTGCACGAGTCACCTGATACTTTTAGTTCTGTGCCCCAGGGAATTTATTCCGTTCAGTGCGTCACTCTGTTCATGCTTGTTGATTACTATCATTATATCATCATAGTGTAGCAGGTCCCTTGCAAAACGTCGCTCTCATCACAGTCTGGCTGTAAGAAACTCGGTTTCTCGCCAGTTCTCCCGCCTCGTGTATTTCCTACTCAAGGAGTCACTTATATCCTGTGCCCATCTTCGTGTTGGTTGGCCTCCTTTCTGATACCATGCCTTCTGCTATAATTTTTTCCAATCCGTTGTGGTGCTTGATATGACCAAAATATTTCAGCTTCCGAGAAAGGATGCTGTTTATTAACCAATCTTCCTTGATGTTCAGATCTTTTAAGATGTCAATATTTCTCCTCTTCTTTGTCCAAGATACTCTTTCTATAGCATTTCAGCTCAAAAGCCCCTATTCTCTTTCTTATCTCCTTGCTGGTGGTTAACCATAGACTTTTAAGGCTGTTCAATCTTTGCATTGCTTTGGCCATCCTCCTTTTAATTTCTGTTGAACAGTCTCCATTGCTGTTTATTATAGAGCCTAGATATTCAAAGTTTGTGACATTTTCAATTTCTTCATCATTGTATATGTTTGTAAAATTAAGAATGGAAAATATATAAATGAATGCAAAAAATGTTTAATGTATTATGTAGTTAAATGTGTAAAAAAAATTTTTTTTTTTAAATTGCTTTTTTTGGGAATTCCCACAGAATCGTGATCCAGTTTTGCGAATTTCCAGATGTGAAAGGGTTAAAGGGTCTCGAATGTTTATTGCCATCTTTATGCTGGTCAACCGCTGCTTCTTTAAATTACCTCCTCTTACCGTTTTTTCCCCTTAGATGCAGCAGCAGTTAAATAATTCATCATCTATCTTCATCTTCTGTTGCTTCATCTTCTGTAGCTTCCACATGTTTGTTTAAATTGCGATTATCACCTGCATATCTGTGCACGATATAAACATTGATCTCCTGCAACTTGTCTCATCAATTTAACTACCTGAATAGCAGTTTCTCAGAATTTAAAAACAGCCTTCAATGTTCACTGGCTGCATCAGTAACCATGCAGTTCTCTCTAACTGAACAAAATGTTGGGTTACTTGTTGTCAGCTGGCTAAGTTGCATTACAATGTTTCCAGATCATAGAGGAATGTTTTGTTTGAATGAAATACTTTGCTTTATGGATGGCATTTTTGTTTTAGTCATAATAAAAACATCTCATTATTCAGTTGTCAGACATTGCAAATAATTCATTAATGAATATGTCAAAACCAGTTTGTATTCCTGGATATCATATTCTATACAGGCTATACAGGAGTCGATTGTAAGAATAAGACCAAAGAATGTGACAACAACCCTTGTCAGAATGGGGGAAACTGCACACAGGGAGATGGGAACTATACGTGTTCTTGTGTGCAAAGATACTATGATCTGACAGCGTAAGTTCACTTTCATAACCTTGTTTTTCTGTTTTATCATAGTGAGTAGTTCAGCTTTCAGGAAGGCAAACCTCGACAACACATTCCTAAAAAAGAAGCTGGATGTTTTAACCGGAAAGTGCAGATGTCGCAGCCATGCTGCCCGTAATGGGCAGGACACACAGTTACATCCTCGGATGAATGAAGAAACAAAAGAAGAAGAAAAATAGTTTGACTCTAATATTAGTACCGACTTATCAAAACAGAGTTTTACCCAAATATGAAGCCCATCTAAGAGTGAGTGAGTGACTTTCAATACCACCAGGATCGCACAATGAGCGATTAACACCAGGTGACACAAAGCACCACCATTTGAATGAGAATCCCCTGGGTGCAAGTCCCAGAAACTCTGTTCAACCTTTAGGTTATATTAGGGCCCCCGACAACAGACAGGTTGGGGCTTTACTGTAGAAAATGGAGATGGAGAAGCAGCAAGAAAAACCCTAATCTGTTACATCATGGCTAAGTACTGACACAAGGGTTGATAGACTGTGCTGGTTGGGGCATGTTGAAAGAATGGGGAATGAGAAGCAGCCAGAAGGGGTTCAGTTTCTAGGGTTTGCTTCCTCGGTTATTGTGTCTCATTCAACTTCTGAAAGATTTACAGCCAATAATGGTAACTGATGTAGTATGTGGCGACACATAATTTTTCCCATGCCTGCTTTTTAGTTGATTGCATGCGATTAGGACAGGATGGGTTCGAAGACAATGGTTTGAGTCTTTGAGAAAATTTAATGTGACAGGAATAAGTTTCAGTGGAATCTCTGAAGAAATTTTATGTGACAGGAATAAGTTTCATTTTTTGTGCTAGGGAAGTCTGGGGTAAGAGGGAATGAGTGAGCAGATTGGCTTGCAGGTAAGGCCATAGTAGGCACAAGACATAGTGTACCAGGTCCATGTTTTCAGTGCTTGCAAGGAAACAGGACAAGTATATGATCCAGGAGATTACAGTGAATTGGCAACATGGAAAAGACTACATTTCAAAGTCAAACAAGATGAATCGCCAAACATGAACACTATACACAGCTAACCAAAGAAGAAGAATAGTAAACCGACACAGAACTGTTTTTATCAATCGCCACATCTTGAGGGAGGTACTGAAGATGGGATCCGAGCGCTAATTTACTTGTCTGAACAATTAACGAACAAACTTTATTTTTAAAGGGTTGAGGATTGGGCACAGAGGCCTGTCTAACATTCTGCCCTGCGAGGTCTCCCTCTATTCTTACATCCTTTCATTCATACATTAATTTATAGTAAACATTATCAATAGCATCAAAATATTAATTATAAGCACTGGAATGTGTACATTTCTAACAGCAGAAAACATGTGATGAGGATAGTCAGTCAATTAACTAACATTTCTTCGTTTTCTGGGAAGTTATCTTGGTCAACAAATGCTTGATGAAGTCTATTTTTTCGGCCAAAGGGAACAAATATAGCAGTGCTGTTCATTCATACATCAAGATATATTGAAAAAAATTATCAATATCAAAATATTAATTATAAGCACTGGAATGTGTACATTTTTAACTACAGAAAACATGTGTGATGAGGATAGTCAGTCGATTAGTCAGTTTTCTAGGAAGTTATCCTTGTCAACAAATGCTTGATAAAGTCACATTTTTTGGGACAAATATTGCAGTTATGCTGTAAACAGGCACAAAACAATTACATCACTCGGATGAATGAAAAGAAGAAGATTTCTGTGTTTATTATGACAGGTTTCACTTCTAGGTCTTGCTTTCTTGGTTTTTTTATGCCTCATTTGACTTTTAGAAGGTTGACATCTACGGTTATAGTGGCAGTTCAGCTGCTATAGTTATTTCTTTATTCGTTATGATAAGTTCAGCTGTCAGGTTTTACTTTTGGTTTTATAGTAGTGGACAGCTGCCGGGTTTGGTGTTTTGCTTATGCCAAGGTTGGTGCATTTCTTCTAGTGATCGGTTCAGCTGACAAAATTAGTGCTTTGCTTCTAGTGACCGGTTCATCTGCCAAGGTAAGTGCTTTGCTTTTAGTAACAGGTTCAGCTGCCAAGGTTAGTGCTTTGCTTTTAGTAACAGGTTCAGCTGCCAAGGTTAGTGCTTTGCTTTTAGTAACAGGTTCAGCTGCCAATGTTAGTGCTTTGCTTTTAGTAACATTTTCAGCTGCCAAGGTTAGTGCTTTGCTTTTAGTAACAGGTTCATCTGCCAAGGTTAGTGCTTTGCTTTTAGTAACAGGTTCATCTGCCAAGGTTTGTGCTTTGCTTTTAGTAACAGGTTCAGCTGCAAAGGTTAGTGCTTTGCTTTTAGTAACAGGTTCATCTGCCAAGGTTAGTGCTTTGCTTTTAGGAACAGGTTCAGCTGCCAAGGTTTGTGCTTTGCTTCTAGTGACTAGTTTATCTGCCAAGGTTAGTGCTTTGCTTCTAGTGACAGGTTCATCTACCAAAGTTAGTGCTTTGCTTTTAGTGACCAGTTCAGCTGCCAAGATTAGTGCTTTGCTTCTGGTGACAGGTTGAACTGCCAAGATTTGTGCTTTGCTTCTAGTGACCGGTTCAACTGCTAAGAATAGTGATTTGCTTGTAAATTGGTTCAGCTGTGAAAATTAAAATTAGTGCTTTGCTTGTAGTAAACAGTTCAACTGCCAAGGTTTCATACCTCGCTTTTCACAGTTTTAACTTCCAAAATTGGTGCAGCTCATGTGCTTACCATTTCATCGATGAGGTAGTTGCTATACATATTTATTCATGCATGTTATATCTTTGACCTGCAGGTTGTATGGACCAAGAGGATTCTTGTTGTCCGGGTACAACGGGACCAACTGTGAGAATGACATCAATGAGT